TCTGCTAATTTCTCAAACATAGATTTAGAAGTTTTTTTTTCTTTAGCACCACTTACAATTCAACGTAAAGCTAAAGTTAAAGCACGTTTTTCTTCAACTTTTACCGGTATTCGTTGAGTAGAACCTCCCCGTTTTCTACTTCTAGTTTCTAAACTAGGCTTAACATTAGTTATCGCTCCTTCCAAAACAGTTAAAAAGGGCATTGAAGTACTTTTTTCTACTTCAGTTGCTGCACGATATACTATATTTGTCGCTATTCTTTTTTCTCCCTTTCTCATCACATAGTTAATTAATTGGCTCACAATAACTGAAGAAAAATTTTCATCTGGCTTTAACAAATGTCTTTTAATTACTCTTTTTTTCCGCATGTATTATTTTTTAGTCTCAGATTTTTTAGTTCCATACAAAGAACGGCCTTGGCTTCTTTTTTCTACCCCTTTCGCATCACCCCTCGAATAACCTCTTACTACATGATACTTCACACCAGGTAAATCTTGCGCTCCTCCTCCCGCAATCAATACTGAAGAATATTCTTGCAAATTGTGTTTTTCGCCAGGAACATAAACAGTAACTTCTTTTTTATTTTTTAAAACTACTCTAACGTAAGGGCGATTAGCTGAATTTGGCTTCTTGGGTTTAGTTACTCCAACTTTTTTTACACTCCCCTTTACAAAAGGATTATTAGAAAAAAAATAAGTCTTTTTTTTCGAGTTTCAATTAATTTTTAAAGCAAGTTTTTTTACTTTTTTCTTTTTTGGTGTACGAATATTTTTAACTAACTGGTTAACAGTAGGCATTGGCTATATATTATTATTTTTGTGTATTTTTCTTTACTCTAAAATTTCTAGAAACAATTAAACCCTACTTTTTGAGCAACTTCTTTAAAAAGAAAAACCAAAACAAAGAAAGTAAAAATACTCCTCCCCAATATAAAAATTCCCACTCAGAATTAGGTTTTTTTTGCTCTGTCACTTTCTTCTCCTCAACTATTCTATCAACCGCATCCAAGATAAAATCTTGATAAAGATAAATTTCTTCTCGGCTCTCTAACTTTTCTAGTTTCTCAGTTCAATGCTGAAACTCTTCCGGTAAATCACTATTTTGTAATGAGTTAGTAACTAAGAATTGTTTAATGGTTTTTTGAACTTCTTCTCGTACTTCATCAATACTTAACTTAGATTGAGGATTAGAAGGTCGTCTTTTTTTTCTTTCTTCTTGTTGCTTTTTTCACTTTTCTTCTTGCGATTTGTTTTGTTTTTCTTGCTCTTCCTGCTGTTCTCTTTTCTTTTTCTCTCGTTGATTTTTTTCTTCTGTTTCTTTTCTTTCCCTTTCAACTCGCTCTCGTTCCAAACGATCAGCTTTGGCTTGGTTTTCACGACGAAGTTTTTCCTTGGTTGATTCATCTGAAGTTTTGGCTAACCTTTCAATACTTTCTAAAATATTTTCTTTTCAAAATTGTAAATTCTGATAAGAATAAGCATTGCTGCGCAATAGTTCCTTTCAATCACTTGTAGTCCAAATAGAATTTTCTTTTACTCCTTTTTCTTTACAAAGGTCTTTTATTTCACTAATAATAGAACTAACACAACTATCAAAACTATTTTTACCTTGCTGAATTTGGGCTAACATTTGCTTTTTAAATTCAGTAAGTTCTTCCTCTGTCCGACCCAGGCAATTTTCAACATGATTTTGCCAAAGGCCTGGATTTTTTAAAGTTCCATCCAAGTTAACTTCTACCTCACACCGACAGTTAACAGGCAAAAGTTCTAAATAATTGATTTCTAAATCCAAAAAATTGAGTTTAGTTTCGATAATGGCTTGGTTAATCTCCTTGCAAACCAAGGCACGGGATTGTCTTATCTTGTCTTTAAATCGGGATATTAAACTTTCTTCCTTTAAAGATATATCACCGAAAAAGAAAGATGGAAGGGTGGAAGTAAAGTGTATCTCACCTGCTCCTTCATAAACTAAGAAACCGTTCTTTTCCTGTTCTTTACCTCTTTTTGCCATTTGATAAATAGCCTCCTTTGGAAAAACTATTCATCAATTCATACTATAAAAAAGATCCTTCTTTCATGAAGAATAGGGAAGAGAAAACTTAAAAAAAACTTTCTGCGGAGGAAGAATATCTTCCTCTGGTTTTTTTAACTTTTGAATAATCTTGTTTAACTTGCTTTTTAATTCGTCCGAATAGAGATAAAATATTCTATCTTGGTCGCCGCTATAATCGCCTATCTCCAAATCAGAAGAACTAGAACAAAAAAACTCTGTTTCTCGGTTAAACTTTTCTAATCTTTCTTTAAATTCTTTGCTAATTCCTTTAAACACGATTATATATATATATATATATATGATTTTACAAACAATTTTTAATGATTAACCTAATTTAATTCTTAAAATCTTGCTTTCAAATTATTATAATAATTTCGAAACTTCTTTAACTTCTCGGACTCTTTTTCAACTAACTCTGGGGGAGCCTTCTTTACAAAACTCTCATTACCTAATAATTTTTCACACCGAGTAATCTCTTGTTCTAAATATAACTTAGTCTCTTGAATTTCTCTTTGTTGCTTGTCTCCTACTCTTCCTTCAAGTTCAGAAAATAACCTTTGACTAATAAAAACTTCTAAATAGCCTTCCGCTAAAGTTAATTCTTCTTTTCAGCAAACTACTGATCTTTCCTCTTCTAACTTTTCTTTTTTTTTCTCACGTTCATTTGCTTTTCCTTCCTTAGACAAAAAAATATAGTTTAATTCAGTATTAACCAATTTCTTTAATCACGCACTAAACTTTTCCTTAACATCCTCAAAATCAATTCCCTTATAACTTTCATCATCAGTCAAATAAGTAGTTTTATTTTCAACCACATTTGTCATAGGCAGCAAAACTAGACAAACTATCAAACCCTCTTTTTGAAGAGAATATTTATTTTTGAACTCTCGCAGCCTTCTCAACAAACGATAGAAAAGACTCATAACTGCACTATTCCGATGAAACACCAAATATTTTTCTTTCTTTTTTAAATTATTAATCTTCAAATTTTCAATTAACCTTGCTAATAAAACCCCATCTTTCTCAGAAAATAACACGGATTCTGAATAGAATTTTTTATACAAGAAAAAAGTTAAAAAAGGAGCAAAAGGATGGAGTAATCTAAGGAAATATTTAAACATAATCAACCCCACTCTAACCGAATTTCTGCTATCAACTAATTTAAGTATTTCTAAATAATCGTTACCAAAATCGTCTCTCTTGCTGCTCGATATTATTCCAAACCTAGCTCACATTTTTACTTCCTCCTCATCAATTTCTCAAATTACAAAATTCTTTAAATCATCAACGGCTCGACTAAACTTTAACTCCTTTAAAGATTTATCATAAGAATTAACTAAGTTTCGAAAAATGAATAAGAAATAACAATTTAAATAATCGTTTTCAAGGGACTCCATCTTAATTTCAGAAGACAAATTATTTATAATATATTCAGATAGTTCCTCGTTCTTAATGTTGTGCTTCTCTTTTAATCCTTCTAAATAACGAGCAATATTTCATATCTTATCGAGAAATCGTCAATTGCCCTTCAACTTGTCATCCCTTATTTTAATATCTTGGTCTTGAGCCTGGGAACTAACAAAACTTATTCGAGTAGCATCAACTCCGTACTTTTTAATTAATTCTTCTGGTTCAATGACGTTACCCAAAGATTTAGACATTTTCTTCCCCGCTGAATCTCTAATTAAACCATGAATCAAAACCGAAGAAAAAGGCGGTTGCTCTCCAACGAAATAATAACTAAAACAAATCATTTTGAACACTCAGAAAAATAAAATATCGTAGGCAGTTACTAAAAGAGAAATAGGAAACTTAAAGTTTTTTTTATTTTCTAAATATCCTGAATGAAAAACTGGAGCTAAACCACTGGAAAATCAAGTATCTAAAACCATCGTTTCTTGTGCCCATTCTCGCAAGGGGCAAAAATTTTCATGTCCGCATACAATAATGCCTTCTGGCGGTTTTTCACATAATGAGCATTTCTTATTAAGTTTTTCGCCTACATAAATTTCTCCTGTTTTTTTATGATATCAAGCGGGAATTTGATGACCTCACCACAATTGCCGAGAGATACATCAATCCTTCAAATTATCTTTTCATTGGAGTAATTTTTGCTTGTAATCAGGCGGTAGGAAATTCATTTCTGAAAGCAACTCGGAAAAAGTTTTGTTTTGCTTCTTTTCAATCTTATCAATTCACTTCCGATAACTTAAAAATCACTGAGTAGACAAATAAGGTTCAACAACTATATCGCTTCTCTGAGAATAGCCAATATTACTTTCATAAGTTTCTATTTGAAAACAAATATTAGTCTTTTGTAGATCTTCAATAATTTTTTTTCTTCCTATAAATCTTTCTAACCCTTGATATTTACCAGCTAACTCATTGAGGTATCCTTTTGAATCTAAACAAATTTTGCAATCTAAACCATACTTCATCCCCAACTCATAATCTTGAAAATCATGTGCCGGAGTACATTTTAAAACTCCCGTACCAAAATCAATTAAAACGCTTTCATCAGCCAAAACCGGTATCTCTTGTTGATTAAGGGGGTTAACTACTTTCTTTCCAATATACTTAGTATAACGACTATCATGGGGATTAACGAACAAGCATGCATCAGCAAAAATGGTTTCAGGACGGCTAGTAGCAACCGCCAAATACTCTTCTTTGCTTTCAACTAAATAATATTTGAGATAGTAAAGTTTATTTTTTTCAGGCTTATAAACAACTTCTAAGTCAGAAATAGCGGTTTGCAATTTCACATCCCAATTAATCATTTTCTTTCCTCTATAAATAAGTTGGTCATGATATAATTTAGAAAAAGCATGGACTACTAATTTATTGAAGTCAGGATCCAAAGTGTAAGTTAACCGGCTTGAATCCATGAGAAGCCCCATCTCTTTCCACTGATTAATTATCAAATTTTTGTGCTGTTTAAACCATTCTTCTCCCCTTTCTTTCATTCACTGACGAGAATAATTAGCAAGATTAAAATTATCAATTTGAGAACTTAAATACTTTTCTACTTTAATTTGAGTAGAAATACCGGCATGATCTAAACCAATAAGCCAATTAATCTTTTTTCCTTGTAAGTAGTTGAATCTCAGCAAAATATCTTGAATGACACAATTCCACATGTGTCCTAAATGTAACTTGCCGGTAATATTAGGAGGAGGTAATAAACAAACAAAAGAATCAGTTCTATTTACGGGTGGATTTGTAAAAATTTTACTGTTTTCCTTTACAAAATAGTTCTTTTCTTTACTCTCAACTTCATTATGATCATACTTTTTTTTCATATTTTAATAAAATAATTGGCTATTTACTACCTATATGAAGTTTGAACTAGTTAGTTTTAATATCTAGATCTATTTTTTTCACTTCGATAAACAAAATAAGCAATTAATCCTACTACACAAATAACCACCGCCGCAATTCCTCCATAGAAAAGAAGTTTACCATAGCCTGATCCTTGACTATCATTACCTTTTTTTAAATCATTTAAACTTAAAGAAGTTAAAAAATTTTTCCGACAATAAACTTGAATTTGTTGTAATTCAGGTGAATTGGCTTCTTCTTCTTCTTCTTCTTCTTCTTCTGCATCGGCATATTTAACTAGCAATTTATCACCTTGTAATCTAACGTTTTCAATTCTGTGCTCTGTAAAGTAAGTTAAAATTTCTAAACGAACTTTTTCTCAATCGGTATGGTCATCAGGATTATCCTGTTCTTTGAGACCTAAATCCTTTCTAGTAACTATTTTATAATTAGGTAAGGGTTGAAAATAAGTTACTAAATCTTCATATAACTTACAATCTTGATTAGAATTAACTAATTTTATGCGACCATTCAAATAATGTATACTAAAAATCGATTGCGGTTGCTTTTTAATGCTGCCAATCTCGCAAATGACAAAGAAACTTTTAACTAAATTTTCCGAGGTTATTTCTAATAAATCACTAGATTTAACATTCAAGCATCCACAAGGTTGAAAGTCATTATGACTATTTTTATCGACTATTTTTCAGCATTTGTTATGAATTTTTGTTTCTTGAACATTACCAATTGGATAGTGACTTCCTCGAGAACAATTGGTTTTTATCGCTTGACGATAGTTTTTTTCTCACTCCTGAGCAGCTTGATATCTTTGCGAACAATCACCACAAAGTGCATCAGGGTTGTCGGGTTGGTTCTTATCATCCGTTATTCTTCCCTCCTTAATTTCTTTTTTAAGTTTATCAACTACATCCAAACATACATCACTAAAAGGCTGGAAATTATTAAAAACCGTTTTATTTCAATGTTCGCGTACAGCTTTCTCTTGACTTTCAAAAGGATTTTTTTCCTCTCAAAGTTTAATTACCCTGCTTAATTGGCTCAATTCAGTTTGATTCAATAGCCTGAAAGCACGAGCATGCTCTTGCCATTTTTTTAAAATTCTAACTACTTTTTTCGTATATTCTTGTTTAGTTTCTGCATACAGGTGAAGGTCATGTGATAATCCTAAGTTAATATCAAAACAATTTACTCGCTTACAAGTACAAATAGGATTAAAGGCTCTTTTACCCTCAAAAAAGTTTAGTATACTTGTATATTCTTTTCCAGAGTAAAGCTTCGTATCAGCATTAAAACCACTAGAAGTTATTGTTTTAAAAAGAGGAAGTTTAGCCGGCATTCAACTTTCCCGTATATCCTCAAACTCTCTTTTTATATCGTTATAACTATAAGAAACTTTAACCATGGATTTAATATATTATATTATTTTCATTAAGAAATTAATTTATTAAAGTAGTTTTACAACTTTTATGAACTAAACCCTAAGAAAAAAACGATAATTAAAAAAATTATTAAACAACTGTCTCTTTTATCGCAGTATTTAGCAAGAGCAAGGTTAAAAACTTTATTAATACACAAAAATGACTTCTTTTTCGCAAATTGCAAAACTATCTTACCTAAAACTAAACAAAAGTATTGTTCTTTACATCTGAATCAATCGAATTCGTAAATTAGGTAATTTACTGTTCCTAATCGGACAAGACAGCAGTGGCTACTTACAAATAATTGTTAAAGAAAAAAAATTAATTGACCACTTAAAAAAAATTAACCGCGGTGACTTACTAAAAATAAAGGGAATTATTAAAAAAAAAGAAGGAACACAAAAAGAAATCGAAATTGAGTTAAAAAAATACCAATTAATTAATCCTAGCAAAGAATTACCGTTCGAAATCAAAGATGAAGTGAACATTAATGAAGACACTCGCTATCGCTATCGCTATTTAGACTTGCGACGACCAAAAAGCAAAAATTTACTTCTGATCAAAAACCAATTTTTACATGAGATAAGAAATTTTCTGCATAAAAAAGGATTTATTGAAATCGAAACTCCGATTTTATCACAAAGTTCTCCGGAAGGAGCTAAATGCTTTCTCGTTCTTTCCAATTTTGAAAAGCGTTATTATACTTTGCCTCAATCTCCCCAAATTTTTAAGCAATTATTAATGGTAGGAGGACTAGACCGATATTACCAAATCGCTAAGTCTTTCCGCAATGAAGATGCGCGCAGTAATCGACAAATCGAGTTTTCACAACTAGATCTAGAAATGACACTGGCCACTTCGCGACAAATAATGAGAATTATTGAAAATCTTCTCCAAAGTGTCTTAAAAAAAGTTTTTGGTTATCAAATAAAAATACCCTTTTCTCGCCTAACTTACCAGCAAGCAATAACTAAATATGGCAATGACAAACCAGACTTAAGAACTAATTCTAAGCAGGAAAAATTAAATTTTGTTTGAATAACTGATTGGCCACTTTTTGAATATAATCAAGAGACTAAAAAATATGAAACAGCCCGTCATCCCTTTACTATTCCACAAAAAAAATACATTAGTCCCTTATTAAATGAAAAAGTCAAACCAGAAAAAGTAATTTGTGAAGCTTTCGATCTGGTCTGCAACGGTGAGGAAATATTAAGTGGTGGATTACGCATTCACCAGCATGAATTACAAGAAAAAATTTTGGAGATATTAGGTTATAACAAGCAAGAACAAGTAGAAAATTTTGGTTACTTTTTACAAGCTCTTGAATTTGCTGCTCCACCTCATGGCGGGTTTGGGATGGGGATTGACCGCTTACTAGCCATCATATTAAACACCGATAATCTAAAAGAACTAATTGCTTTTCCCAAAAATATTGACGGAACTTGTTCGCTGACCGGGACACCTAACCTTTTAGCAGTTGGAAAAGAGTTAAAAGAATTATCTCATGCCGAGAAAAGGAAAAAGGAACGATTAGAACAATAATTAATTGCTAGTTATCAATCACGAGTTAAGAAGAATAAATTAAAGAACTATCCAAAAATTATTGTCCTGCCTTAATAATTAACAATAATGAGTGGAATAAATATGATAATTCAGTAGCGGTACTGTTTCTAACCACGGATGACTTAGAAAATATCTACCCATAGAAACTTTTATTACTTCCAAGCACACTGAATAATCTAGAATATATTTCTGTATCAATGATTTTATAATAAAACAAAATTCCTAACGACTAAAACCTAAACAATTTTTATCTTTATCTTATCAAAAAAGCAATTGCTAGAAAGATTACTATCAGTAAAGCATAGATATTGCGAATAAACTTAGTTAATTTAGTAAAATGAGTAGACTTATGTATCTTTTCTTTGCTTTCCCGAGTAGGAGAAAAATTGTCTTCTTCACCAAAAAAAAAAGAAAAAACAAAAATAACTATTCCTAATACTCAGAAAAAAATTTTTAATAAAACTGGCATAAAGTAAAAA